CGCTCTTCTTTCCGAATTCTAACAGCATGGTAGCGGGGGACGCTGTCATCGTACCTGGAGCGTTGGAAGAATCCACACTGGAGAAGAGTGACATAAAGGGACAATATGGGATTCAACTGTAATCAAAGTATCGTAAACAGAGGTCTAACATTGTCCTTTGAGCTAGGATAAAAGTGGCATCTCTCAAAGGACTGTCAAAGAAAGGAACTGAAAAATAAAATGTTTCCAAGTCAAATGTAAAAAAAATGCAGGGCTCCTAGGTGGAATGAAGGGGGATGGGTGGGTAGTAGGGGGATATTTCAGGGCCAAAGTTATTAAGACATGGGTCTGTTATTAAATCAACTGAAAATGTTTTTGTCTCTTGGTGATCAAAATTTTTCCGGATAAAATAGAGCTTTGATGCACCACTTCCCTGTTTGAGCCCTGCTGTCGCAAAATTTGCACAGCCACTTAGCTCTGCACACTGTGATCAGCTCTCTTGAAGTAAATGGTGAGAATGACTTTGAAGACTGTTGTTGGGTGAGTAGATGAAGTGATGGGCAGAATATAAAGGTCTTTTTCATTGGTTTCTTCAGCGGAACATGTCACTTAACACAAGTTTGTAAGTAATATTACTCTTAAATCGTGAAACACCAAAAAATCCTCACCTTTACGATGGTAAATAGTAGAGGGAAATGTGATCACTATTCAGATCTAAGACCTCAACTAAACCCACAGAATTTTAGAAAAAAACATTATCTCCCCTTTACTGCACATCAAGTTAACAGATCAGACCCCCAAATATCCTCATTTTAGGAAACACAATCCATATATAATTATTCCTTCCAATCTTAAGTAAGAATTACTAAAAGCATAAATCATGCAACTGGCATACTTCAAAGGATTACAAAAAAATATTAAAATTGTATCCGTTTCCACAGCAATTAAAAGCAGGTATTAGAAAGCACCTTTTTATCATGAGCAGCATAAATCCTTTAGCATGCAATAGGGGTTAATAAAGCCACTTGTTTTGCCTTCAAATATGAGAAATGTTGACATAACTTTATTTTAAATCTTAAAACTCTACACTATGACATCTGTAAAGCTTGAAGATTTAAAATAGTTATGTCCCAATAAAAAGTATTACCTCATAAAAATATTTTACTATAGAGAATAAGAATATTCTAAAACCCATACATAAACAAAATATATTTTAAGCAATTTCTAAGAGCATACATTTCTTCACATGCACTGAAAAAGTTAACGTTATAAACAGAGTAAGCAAGCAAATATTGGTATTTTGAGATCCAGTAGTTAATGGAACATATGCAGCAAGCTTCCCACAGTTAGCCACCAAAACCAGAGCATGTCCCACAGCTAAGAATTTTTTTTTAAATATTAATCAATTACCAATTACAGAAGTAGATCAATACTATGCATCAGAAGTAAGCCTCTCTTTATCAGATGGCTGAGCATGGATCTCAGCCTTGTGATATGTGGCATCATAATGATCTTTCTTATTTCTCTTGAAGAAACCACACTACAAAGAAGCAAGGTATTTAGTCAACTTTTTTGGATTGGTGTAAAAAGAAAGAGTCAACCTTTTGTATTATTTTATATATAAAAAAAATTAAGACACCTCCCTGTCATTACACCTTTCCATTCCTTATGCAAAACAGGAACTGAGAACGTAACATGGGAGAGTAGAAAGTATTTCAAGATGTCCCAGAATATTTTCTTCTATGAAACGCAAAAATTATGACATATTTGTAGGTCAGAAAGGATTTGCTGAATGCTACAATATCCCAAGATCCAGCAGTGGCTTTTTTTTTTTTTTTTTTTTAACGTTATCTAAAACAAATGCTATTCTCTAAAACGGGATTTCACAAATATTTGTAATGCACCCTTAAAGCGCATAAATGGGTTGCAGTAGCTCACATAAAATAATTGAAAATGCTTTACTATTACTCGAGATTCGTCTGCTTTCTTCAAAACTGAGCTGCCCTTCATATACAGCTGAAAATGCTTTTGTCTGCATGACAGAGGCATGCTTAATTACAATTAGGAGAGACATCTAGGTTTCTCCAGATTTGTTTCAGTCTCATTTCTATGTTTAAAAAAAAACAAACAAACCACACAACAGTGGACTAATACTGCTTACTCAAATCTCATAATTGTCAGTAGCACTTCAAGTAGGTTATTAAACCATAATTCATAAACTTTGTCAATTATTTGTTCTTTTCCTTAGATAACGTACTTGCCGGAAAGAAGAAAATCGGCAAAATCTGGAGGACAATCTAAAAGGAACTGATAACAAGCAGCCCCCCTGCCCCCCCTTTATGGTCAGCAGAAAGCAGTTGCTGTCCAGAAAAGCTATTTTCAAGTGAGTATTTTCAGAGGACTGAGGACAACTTCTATATTAGTGTACCATATAGTACTAAGGTCCGAGGTGATATTCCTAATCCAGGAATTTGATTCCATAGTAACAACTAACTTGCATCCCAATGCTTCCAGCTAGAGTCAGGAATAAGACTGTTGTTCTTTTGCACTTAAATCTCTGACTGGAATAAATAATGGCAACTCTACAGCCAATCACTGGTTTCCTCCCGCAGAAGAACTCTCAGAACTACAGCTGGGATACTCACGGAAGCAGCAAGCAGGTAATTAAAGAAGTGAGGATAATTAAACCAAAGGGATATATTTTGATTTTGGGAGCAGAACTTAAATCTAAGATTCTAGAATGAGAAAATAGGTGTTCAGATAATGCAGTGTTTGTAGGCAATCTTCAATTATCTTCAGCTATTATTCAACCATTAGATCAGCACTTTCTATGCAAAGTGACAATATGGTTTCCTAGGGTATTACTTGCCACCATGCATCTGTTTAAGAATATTCTCAGACTATAAGAATGCACCCACATATTGTCTACCAGGAAACACTTACTGTTCTAAGTGTAAATAGTACTAATAATTTGTGATGCATACATTTTTGCTAGGGGTACATTGATAAGATTTTCTTGGCCAATACGATGGCCAACTACTAACCAGCCGTAATCAGCCAATAACGATCCGATAGCCGATTTACAGGACTGTAGCCCAGCAGCTTGGAGAGCAGCATCCTGCAGGTAAGCATGTGGGAGGGGAAGAGGCGTAAGGGGACGCGGGGCTGATCGAGGCCCCCACAATGAGGGAGGGAGTGGGGCAGGCACTGCCCAGTCAGGGCAGTGAATATGACCCTTGGAGCTGGATGGAGCCGCAGGCAGCTCGTCAAGGGTGGGGGGCGGGGCTACCTGCCACTGTGCACACCCCCAGGGGAAGCATGGGGGCCATGTGCCCCCCAGACTTGTGTGTGGGGTGAGGACGGACTGCTTGCTGTGGGCGCAAGGCCAGGGGCTCTGCCAGCCTCTTCCCAGGAGGGGTGTTGGGCCAGGGCTGTGCTTGGGACAGGTGGCGGCAGCAAAGGGAGGGGTGGCTACAAGGTGGGCTTCAGCCATCCCAAAATTCCCCGTAGTCACCCCTCCCAGTGTCACCTCCGCTGCCTGCCCCAAGCACAGCCCTGCCCCCCACAAAGTGTTGCAGACTTTAGAACCTGAAATTTTTTTTGTGTGTAAAATGATAGAAAATACATATTCATGAGATTATTCCACTTTCAGTAAAGATGTATGATTATGTTGCTCTTTTTTACACCTTAATTAGCAAAAAAATGCTTAAGTAATTTGCTACCTTATTTGTTCATATGCAACTGAAAAATAGGTGGATTATTAAAATAACTCACCTTCCATAGCAAAAACACCAACAGTGCAAGCATCAGTATTCCAGCAAGAATAGCTACTAAAATGATCCACCAAGGCACTCCTGTATAGTGTGCTACTGTCTTTGCAGGGAAGACAGTAACACGTACCTAAGGGAGAGGGAAAGATTGTAGGAGTGAAGAGGATAGTAAGTAAATTTCAGAAGTACTTAACTCTAATCCCAAACTAATTTTCACAGCAGTTCTTCAGACCTTCAAGTTGTGCATACAGACAAGTCTATGTTCTGAAGATGTTTTTTCCTCTTCAGTTGCTAATGTCTTTAACACCCAGCTTTAAAGACAAGAATCTGATTCTACTCAGACTTGGGGACTCCAGGGCAGACTTGCTATTTTATTGTGTCAGTAAAGTTTCCAAATTGATCGACTGAAGTGTGAGAGACCTACAGTCCATGAGACCATGATTTTTTCAAGTGGTACAAGTTCTGTACCAAAAAGTCACAGGGGAAAAAAAAAAAAAAAAGGAGAAATCTAAAGGGATGAACTGAAGGTTCACAACAATTCCAAGCCTCCAATCATTAGCTTGGGTTTGGTAGAGTAAGGGTGTTGTAAAACAATATACCTGCTTAATTCAGAACTGGGATTGTCTTGTTATTATGCACTCAAACATCATGTAGATTAATGGGAACCAAAACTTAAATGGTTCTCCAAGGAACCAACACAACATAACAACCTTCCTAGCCTAGAATATTTCGGCTCATTTGGAAGAAAAGAGTAAGAGCAAAATCTAAGCCAAATAATTGGCCTGAAGTCTCATCACTCCTACCAATTGGCAAATATACTACTGGTTTCATTTCCACCAGGTGACTTAGTTTGGAGAAATATTACAAATGGGAAACAATGCTGATATGCATGTTCTCCCTGTAGCAGACTGCTCTGCGTCTTGCAGCTAAAAAGCAACATTGATTTTACAACAGAAGACACAGGTCAGCCTCTTGCAGAGCTAGGCCCCATGCCTGCCTGCAACTGGAAAGGCAGTATTACTGACTGAGCCTAGGTAAAAGTAAGAAAAGAGTATGTATGTATCTGCTCTTCAACTGTACTGGATCTCTCACACAGGAAGACAGAGGTTTCATGGATCCAATACCATTTTCAATGTTTCAAATTAAAACATTCCCTGGTGCAGCATGTGTTAGATGTGTACTGATGAAATGGAGGATCCATGTTAAAGTAGTTTTGAAAACTCACCTGAGCTGTCTCATTTGTGAGCTTAACATTTTCTGCTGCAG